TGCACAGAACTGCTAAATGCCTCAAATGATGTATGGAAGTTTTAGCAGTAAAGGTCGAGAACCAAAACCTAGTCATTGTGATAGTCTACAAGCCTCCGGATGCAAACATCCCAGCAATTCCAGGAACAGCTGTTAAAAAATTGACCACTGTCTGGAAAATCTCCCCGCTCCTGCACCCAATATCTTGCTCCTGGGGGGTTTCAACTTAAGGCACCTAAAATGGAGGAATATAGCAAATAATATTGTTGCAGTAAAAACACCAGGAGGCCCGCTCTGATGAAAACTCACACTCACGCGAGCTTTTTAAATCTCTGCACAAAATTCAATTTAAACCAGCAAAAATAGAGCCTACTAGACTGGAGAATACACTAGACCTCATCTTCACTAACAATGATGATCTGATAAGAAATATCACCATATCAAAAACAATATACTCAGATCACAACATAAATTTGGGTTCAGTATGTATGCGCGGAGCCCCAGACCGACATAAGGAGATTAGTCACGAGGGAGCATTCACCCAAAATTTAACTTCAATAACAAAAAAAATAAAGTGGGACCAAGTAAAACCAAGTCCTAACCGATATAAGCTGGGAAGATATACTAAGCAACACAGACCCCAACTTATGGCTAGAACAGATTAACTCGGTAGCACTCGATGTATGCACAAGGCTTATTCCTCTAAGAAAAAGGGGAGTAGATGTAAAACAGAAAGGACAGGCGCTCCCTTTACAGGCGACGGAAAAGAATAACAGAGCGGCTAAAAAGAGGTCAATATATCTGAAATGCGTAGGGAGACACTGGTCAGAGAAATAGCAAGCATCGAAAATTAAGCTAAAAGAATCCTTTAGGGGTCAGAATCGGGGGGAAGAAACTAAAAGCCATAAATGAAATCGAAAGAAACCCAAAGTATTTCTTCTCCTATGCCAAAACAAAATCGAGAACAAAAGTCCAGTATTGGGCCCCTACTTAAACAAGATGGGTCCTACACAGATGACAACAAGGAAATGAGTGAGCTACTCAAGTCCCAATATGACTCAGTTTTTAGCAAGCCGCTAACCAGACTGAGAGTCGAAGATCAAAATGAATTTTTTATGAGAGAGCCACAAAATTTGATTAACACAAGCCTATCCGATGTTATCCTGACGCCAAATGACTTGAACAGGCGAATAAATGACATGCCCATGCACCTCGCCCCAGGGCCAGACTCATGGAATCTGTGTTCATCAAGAACTGCCCAAAAAGCCCCTATCACGAGCCTTTTCCATCCTATGGAGAGGGAGCATGGACACGGGGGTCGTCCCACAGTTACTAAAAACAACAGACATAGCCCCACTCCCCAAAGGGGGCAGTAAACAACAGCAAAGAACTACAGACCAATAGCACTAACATCCCATATCATAAAAATCTTTGAAAGGGGCCTAAGAAGCAAGATCACCACGCATCTAGAAACCCCTCAGTTACACAACCCCGGGCAACATGGGTTTAGAACAGGTTTGCTCCTGTCTGTCTCAACTATTGGACCACTACGACAAGGTCCTAAATGCACTAGAAGACAAAAAAATGCAGATGTAATATATACAGACTTTGCAAAAGCCTTCGACAATGTGACCAAAAGGCGTAATAAACGCACAAAATGCGTGCTAAAGAATAACAGGAAAAATTTGGGTCGATGGATCTATAAAATTTCCCCACTAACAGAACACAGAGAGTAGTCGTCAACAGAGTAAAGTCCCAGGCAGCTACGGTGAAAACTCTGTTCCACAAGGCACAGTACTCGCTCCCATCTTGTTCCTCATTCCCTTTTATCCGACATAGACAAGGATGTCAGCCACAGCACCGTGTCTTCCTTTGCAGATGACACCGAATCTGCATTGACAGTGTCTTTTCCCTTGCAGACACTGCAAAGCTCCAGGCAGAATCAACCAAATCTTTCAGTGGGCTGCAGAAAACAATATGAAGTTCAACGATGAGAAATTTCAATTACTCAGATATGGTAAACATGAGGAAATTAAATCTTCCCTCAGAGTACAAAACAAATTCTGGCACAAAATAGAGCGAAACACCAACGTCAAAGACCTGGGAGTGATCATTTTCGGAGGATCTCACCTTCAAGGACCATAACATTGTATCAATCGCATCTGCTAGAAAAAATGACAGGATGGATAATGAGAACCCTTTAAAACTAGGGGGGCCAAGCCCATGATGACACTCTTCAGGTCACTTGTTCTATCTAGGCTGGAATATTGCTGCACAACTAAAAGCACCTTTCAAAGGGAGGTGAATTGCCGACCTAGAAAATGTACAGAGAACTTTCACGGCGCGGATAACGGAGAATAAACACCTCAATTATTGGGAGCGCTTGAGGTTCCTAAACCTGTATTCCCCGGAACGCAGGAGGGGAGAGATACATGATTATATACACCTGGAAAATCCTAGAGGGACTAAGTACCGAACTTGCACACGAAAATCACCACTACGAAAGCAAAAGACTTGGCAGACGATGCACCATCCCCCCAATGAAAAGCAGGGGTTTTCACTAGCACGTTAAGAGGGCCATACCCAAAAAGTGTCAGGGGCCCGAGACTGTTCAACTGCCTCCCAGCACACATAAGGGGGATTACCAACAGACCCCTGGCAGTCTTCAAGCTGGCACTGGACAAGCACCTAAAGTCAGTTCCGGATCAGCCGGGCTGTGGCTCGTATGTTGGTTTGCGTGCAGCCAGCAGCAACAGCCTGGTTGATCAGGCTCTGATCCACCAGGAGGCCTGGTCTCAGACCGGGCCGCGGGGGCGTTGACCCCCGGAACTCTCTCCAGGTAAACTCCAGGTATGATCCGCATCCTTTCCTGACGAACCTTACCTAACCTAACCTCACACAGGAACTTTTGTGGAAGGACATTTAGGCCATGAAATTTATTGGATTTTTTTTTGGTGAGTGTGTGTGGGAATTTGACTTTTTGTGGAATGCTTAATGGGAATTTCATCTCATGAGGGATTTATGTGGAAGAAAATCTACATTCTGTCACTTCGGAAATTATTCACACAGCGACACTATTTGATGTTAAGAAAATAATGAAAACATCCATGACGTGTTGGAACTTATTCGGTCCGAGAAGTCCCAACGGGGAAAAACACACCGTTCAAGGGCCCTTACACCCAACCAAAACACAAACACACTCACCCGGGTTGGCAAAGGTGGTTGGAAGGTACTTCTTAATTGATAGATTTACCCTTCAGAGAAGAAGTAGGTAGTTTATACTGTTAGTACACTAATATTAGGATTATTGAGGCAACTGTAGATAATAATAATGTAGACCTAAGACCTTAACATAGGTAGTAATAGGCCGAATGTAGGCAAACACTAGGTTATGTTAGCTAGGGAGAACTGGCAGCCCAAGTTTGAACTATGAGGCGCAGGTCTCGAAGACGCCAGATCTTCCTTCTATGACTAGACACCATCTGAACAACATGTGCCGTGATCAGCAGGCAGCGCCCCCCACGTGTCTTCATATATGAGACCTGGGGAAATCTGGTGGAGGCACCTAGACGTACCGTAGATGTCCTCCTCCGTCAGGCCCATACAGTAAGACAAGACCTCCACTTTTTCTTAGGATTCTGGCCAGTGTCTGGGGAAAGTTGCGAGTGAGTTGAGCTGTAGGCCTTTGTGCAGCCGGCAGTTCATGACCAGTACGTACTTTGTCTGTTGGTAACCTAGAAGCTAGTGTCCGTTTCTGCATAGTTATACTAGGGGATACACACCCTCTTGGATACAGGAATTTCTGAGGTGCAGGCAGGTCACTAATATCGATTGAATATTGCAGGAATTAAGGCTCCCAGTTGCACGTGGTTTCTGAGGGGAAGTCCAAGGGGCTAAGCTTAGGGAGGTTGAAGACCAGAATAGCTTCTACATCACCAAGTAAGTTAGTCCTTTAACGTGCATGCAGGCGAGATTTCTTGCAACATCAGTCATGAAAATCTGTTCTATAAGCCACTTGTGAGGCTGAGGTACCGACCTCAGAGCTCGGTGTCAACAGAGCTTGCCAGGGTAGGCGACACACTTGGAGGCAGTCCAGACAAATTTTCACATGACGACTCATCGTAGATGTGTCTCCTTCCTGTCTACTTGCTCACCTCAGGATATATCATACCTGAATTTCATATCCTTTGAAGACATGCTGATAAACTTTGCTGCTAAGGGAGATAGACGGAAAAAGAAAATACAAATGATAAAGATAATGTTTTATCACTGATTTCATCATTGCTTAGTAGCAGCGCTTTATAGTCCTTGTGGCTTAGCGCTTCTTTTTGATTATAATAATAATAATAATCATTGCTTAGTTAATCTTAAGTTAATTTTAAGCCAGCCCGTAATGCTATGCATAGTATAAGTGGCTTTGGCATACTGCTCTTATCTGTATTTTTTTTTGTACCTCTGTATGTGTGCACAAATTGGAAATAAATAAATAAATAAATAAATAAATAACCAAGAAATTGTTACATCTGAACTGGAAGTAAAGTAGTTTGTTCCCTCAGACTCTGAAGGCATAAAATATATAATACCTACTGATTAACTTAACAATGAAGTTATTCTTCATAACCCTACCTGTTATACTGTTAAAGTTTCATTGGGCTCACATCATGCAACCATCCCTTACGTTCCCATTGTGCCTTACATTTAATGTCTTGTTTAAAAATATACTATATTTTATTTTTTGAGTTATTTTAGGTAATTCACACTATTTATGATAACGTTTATGTGTACCTGTGCTTAAATAACATACGCCACTGTAGACTCTCGAGCATCGTCTTAAGAGTATACTTGCATTTTCTTTATATGTTGGGATAATAAATCTAGAATAAATACTGGAAATACTGATATGTATGATTTCAACATTTTTTGGGGGGAAAATTTGTGGATTTTATATTATTTGTGGGACTTTTGTGAGAAAAGTCGCCCTCATTTGTGAGAAGTGGCAGTGATCAGTGGCAATACTGATCAGTACAATTGCCATGATACCAGTAACACGGTAGACAGCGGAGGGGTAGGCTGCTGCCGCCTCACCTTATTCCCTCTGGTCCTAGTGATAGCGTTCATCCATTTGTAATAACTGTTATCTCACCGATATAAAGTTACGCTGATAATAGCAGTGTTTAGTACTTGAAATAAAAATCATGGTCTACTTTCTCCTAATATAATTCATCACCGTACGCTGCACTGATTTTTTGTTTTAAATTTCATAATTGATCACAAAACCTTGTGTCATGTAATAAGCACAGAGAAAACGCCAGTCCACCTAGCAATGACCATAAGGTAAGTTAAAACTTTCTATTAGACCTATTGGTAGAAGTCTGATTAATTACGTGTTAGGTATTCACAAACAGCATATAAACACTATTAGGTTAATGACTCAGATAGTTTAATTCTTACATAAGCTAGGTTATATACATTGATTCATAGAAGGATGTCAGTATATATAAACGTGTATGTCTGTTTATATATACTGCAGTTGTGTATATAAACAGGTGTGTTTGTTTTCCACTAAGGTGTCTATGTAAGTTTATTGAGGCATAGGTACACATAAGTACACTTATAAATATTGTAAATTACCTAGGATAACCCAAAGAAGTCAGTGACATTACCAAGTCCCCGATCAGTCTTTAAGATATTTTACTACGTATGAAGAGTGCTCCCATAATAAATTTATTGGCAAGCACAAACGATATATAACAGAACTTAAAATAAGCCGAAAGTCTGTTGAATAACTCGTGATTATGTTTTACCAAGTCACCGAGCCTGCTGCCTAGATAACTCGCTGACGTCGGTGACTTGAAAATTCATTGACTTCCCCCTGGATATCAAGAGGTGTATGTGTATGTATCTGGGTTAAAAATGCGAGTTGTATTTACGTATATATATGTGGCTGGGAGTTCTAGGCTAGTGTGTGGCTGGGAGTCCTAGGCTAATGTGTGGCTGGGGGTCCTAGGCTAGTGTGTGGCTGGGGGTCCTAGGCTAGTGTGGCTGGGAGTCCTAGGCTAATGTGTGGCTGGGGGTCCTGGGCTAGTGTGTGGCTGGGGGTCCTAGGCTAGTGTGGCTGGGAATTCTAGGCTAGTGTATGACGTAGGCTTGTGACTCATTATAGATGTACTAGCTTGTGACTCAATATGGATGTTCTAGGCTTGTGACTCAATATGGATATTCTAGGTTTGTGACTGTATAGAAGTTCTAGGCTTGTGTATGCATTCTAGGCTTATGTATGCATTCTAGGCTTGCGTATACATGTATGCTTTCTAGGCTTGTGTATGCATTCTAGAATGCATGTATGCATTCTAGGCTTGTGTATGCATGTATGAAGTCTAGGCTTGTGTATGCATGTATGCAGTCTAGGCTTGTGTATGCATGTATGCAGTCTAGGCTTGTGTATGCATGTATGCAGTCTAGGCTTGTGTATGCATGTATGCAGTCTAGGCTTGTGTACGCATGTATGCAGTCTAGGCTTGTGTATGCTTTCTAGGTTTGTGTATGTATATTTATGGATGCATTCTAGGCTTGTGTATGCATGTATGCATTCTAGGCTTGTGTATGCATGTATGCATTCTAGGCTTGTGTATTACTAGCAGTAGTAGTCCTTGTTATCATTAGAAGTCTTAAGATTGTTTGACTGTAAATGTTCTAAGATTGTACATGTTTATCAATGTTGAATTTCAAGGCTTATGTAACTAAAAAGTTTAGCATTGTATGACTTGAAATTATATGACTAATAGTTCTATGCTTGTGTATGTAATTTTATGCTTGTGTATGTAGGTCTATGCTTGTTTGACTGGAGGTTCTTTGTCATTCGCTGTAAGGCAGTTTTATGCTGCTTCATTCACATGTGTAATGTCTTTCAAGAAAATTTGACCTTACCACACAGGAACCAGATATATACAAAAAAGAAATACTCAGTATTTGACCCCAAAAACAATCAAGAAAAATGCAATGTCTTGTTTTACATCTTGTATGACTTTATAAAGTCCACTGTGTGCAAAACATATGTAAGTTACCAGTGGACCTAATGTGTCTTGTCATACTTGTCGATATTTCCTGCTATATGACTCAAATTTTTCTTGCTTCTTTCTAATTACAAATGAACCCAATCTAATTAAGAAGGAACATGTTTCCTCACAGCATTTTTAGAGTAAATGAAAATTTCATGATATTGATAAGAAAGAATGGCCATAAAGAAAAGGGATTTGTGTGTAGGACAGCCATTGAGCACATTTTTAACAAAATTCTGTTTAGTTTAAAAATTGGGCACCACAAAACATGCTAATAATAAAGACTATGTGTAAGGTGCCCCATAGTAAAAAAGTTGTCATAGAACCTTGTGAATTTTATTATAAAGCTTGTGGATATGGGGATTCAACTGTGGGAGTGTAAAAGTAAAGCAAGCTTCTGTATCCTTGCAACTCTACTGCTGTGTGGGTTTAAATTTTCATGTGTGATAATGGTTTTGAAAACCGACAAGTTGAAGATTGAGACACTTATGCACCATATGGGAATCTTTATTTAGGAAACGTTTCGCCACACTGAGGGACTGATTACCTCAATCTCCTCCTCTTCTTGTGCCTCTCTGCTTTGTATTGGACCGATGAAGCCACTGTGTGGCGAAACGTTTCCTAAATAAAGATTCCCATTTGGTGCATAAGTGTCTCAATCTTAAATTTTCATATTCTATTCTCTCATGACATATAAAGCTTTAGTAAGCTTTTAAATATTCGAGAAACTCCCTTACCTTTGAGTATAGTAGATTACCATAACATCGTTCCAGTCACGGTATTGTGCCTTTTTTTGTTATTTATGATAGTTACATTTTCCTAGAGTGAAAATCTTCTGGCAAAAATAGGGTACGGTTCCTGAATCTTTTTTTTTTTTTTTTTGCCTTATATCCTGGTTGGTGGTGGTTGTAGGTTGTGACATGTGTGTAGAGGGTTGGTGCTGTTGGACAGAGGTGAATTGTTAATGGTTGATGGGCTAAAGTGGATGGTTGCAGTTATCTACTTATGTCAATGCAGAGTTGTCAGCCATTGATTGTATTGGTTGTTTCTTGAATAATGTCTTCCAAGAAAATTTGACCTTACCACACAGGAACCAGTTATATACAAAAAGAAATGCTCAGTATTTGACCCCAAAAACAACCAAGAAAAATGCAATCCTAATCCCTACGCAGTTAACGGAGCCAGAATTGGGGAAAAATCCACGTAAGTTAGTTCCTTAAATCATTTCTTGAACAGCTGGGCTGTAGTGTTAATGTTGGATTCTCTGTGGATAGCACCAACAGCCTAATTAAGGCTATCCACCAAGAGTCCTTGTTAAGAACTGGGCTGTGGTAGCATTGACCTATGAAACAGGCTTCATCTAATTCGCCTCTTTCATCAACAGACTTTTGGCTGTCTTCAAGATGGAGTTCAACAATTTAGTCAAATCAGTTCCTGACCAGCTAAACTTTGGTTTGTACATTGGACTGCATGTGACTAGCAGTAACAGTGGTTGATCAGGTCTTGATCCACCAGGAGGTTTGGTCTTTGAGTGGGACATAGGGGCATTGACCTCAGAAAACATCCTTCAGGTATCTCCTCAGGGAAGGTTCCTTAATGCTGTGAGGGGCTGTTGATCCAAGGAATTGAACTTGTCCCCTGCTTCCTTGTATTGAACCTGTTTGCCTTCCATTGCCCAGGCACTTTGACTACCAGTTCAGCACTTCCCACTAAATATAATAATTTTTTTTTATATATTTTATTCAAAACCTCATGTATAAATATTATACATAGGTAAGTAGTACATATATTAATATGTAACAGTGGTACTGGCTATGAGCAATAAATCAACATTGTCGCTACTCAGTCTACTGAGTAACTACAACACACATAATGGCACTAAAACTAACCTAACACAACCTACACCCTGCTTCTAAGTAAAATGCTACACAAGTACAAAGGTTTTTATGAAATAATATAATGGTGCAAACACAGTAATGCTTACACTCCTACCCCCCACAAGTTTAAACTGTCCACTTTCACGTAATACTTTCTGTTACATATAAACAAGAAACAGCCCAGGCAGTCTATTACACTATACTACAGTGGTACCTCGAGTTACGAATTTAATTCGTTCCAGAAGGTTGTTCGAGTGCCGATACCGAACGAATTTGTTCCCATAAGGAATAATCTAAATTAGATTAGTCCGTTTCAGACCCCCAAAAATACACTTACAAAAACACTTACAAAAATACATTTACATAATTGTTAGAGTTGGGAGCTGTTTGAAACTCTAGGTACCACTGTATATATACAAGACGTACCTAATCATACCGCTACTTGAAAATATTTAAGAATACCTCACTGTTCTGACAATGGTACATTGCTCATTTAAAATTATGCAAAAAAAAAAAAAAAAAAAAAAAAAAGATATATAGGTAGACACGCATGGTTACTTGGAACAAAAATCTCTACTGGCACGACTCCAGTCCATTCATAATGGCGCTGTTCCTTCCAAGCAACACAATCCACACCCTCTCACCCAATGACCTATGCTACAGAGTCAAAGGTGTTCATATTGCTGATGCTAACATGATACAGCGCACACTTTGACCTCCCGCCCCACACACATAACAGATAAGTGTGTCTGCTGTTGCCAACTTTAACCAAAACAGTAATTAAATATTAATCCAGTAATGTATCATAATACGTTTGTAACTTAATAACACAAACATTGTAGTATATTAGCACCCTAAAAACAATACATACATGAACATACCAATAAGAAAAGTTTAGACATTGTATCCCAAAACATACAGACCTCTACAGGACAGATTATTTACACTTACCAGAAATTATCTATATCCTTAATAACTTTACCACTGTAAGTACAGGTCCCATAACAATATTGCCTTAAGTTCTGGTTATGAACAGTTCAAGCTTTATATTAAAAACTGTATATACAAAATACTACATGGTTCACCACACCTAAACCTTGAAAATATAATCGACAATCATATACACCCTAAAAGATCAATCATATGGCCCCTACTGACGTAATACATATAGAAGCAAAAGAGTGAGAACCAAGATAGAGGCCCAGCTCTTACTATATCACTGTTACATGTATATTTCTTCCCATACACATTCCTTATACTTGTCCCTATAGTAACCCATGAAAACACTCAACACACCCACGTGTACAAATACACACTACCACCCAGTTTGAACAGAACTTCATGAAGGTTACATTGTGAATTATTATTATGTGAGCAAATCGCCTGCAGGAGGCTTACAGGGCATTACCTGAATTATTACCTGCAAGTAATCTGGGTGAGGTAAGTGGGACTTAATCACAGTAGGTCACTGAACTGCAACTCCTTTGATGCCCACTTCCTCACCACTTTCACAAAAAGCTACACCTGACATTAAATTAATTATAATATTAAAACCAGATACTCTGGTAATTAACCCTTTGAGGGTTTCGGCCGTACTAGTACGGCTTACGACCCAGGGTTTTTGACGTACTAGTATGCCTAAATTCTAGCGCCCTCAAATCTAGTGGGAGAAAGCTGGTAGGCCTACATATGAAAGAATGGGTCTATGTGGTTAGTGTGCACAGTATAAAAAAAATCCTGCAGCACACAGTGCATAATGAGAAAAAAAAATTACCGTTTTTTTTGGAATAAAACAGCAACTTTGCACTGTATTTTCGTATGGTATTTATTGTTGTATTCTAGTTTTCTTGGTCTCATTTTATAGAATGGAAGACATATTACAGAAATTGAGATGATTTTGACTGGTTTTACAATGAAAAGTACCTTGAAATTGAGCTCAAAGTAGAAGAAATGTTCAATTTTTACCAAAGTTCAAAAGTAAACAAATCATGCCAAGCATCCAATACACGTCAACTGGTGAGTCTAATATTCTTTTGCAAGTGCGCCAATATTATTTATACCATTTTTTACAATAATGCAGTAGTCTGCATAACAGTAAATCTTCTATTTTTTGTGAGAATAAAAATTCAAAGTGGAAAGCAAAAGAATGTAAGAGGGGCCTTGAGACGTGACTAATGAACAAAGGAAATGTCATTTTAGTGCCAGGAATGTCTTCCCTGTTTATTCTGGACCCTATTCGGAAGTTGCCATCTTTTGAAATTTGTGTGAAATTGGCAAAATTGCTAAATTCTGACCACTGTACTGGATAGTTGAAATTGGTAAATGGGTGGTTTCTTGCACTCATTCGATAGAACAAATGGAGTTCTAGCGAAATATTCATGTTTTTTGTCGACTAGTACAGTGGAATTGGCCGAAAATGGGGCTCAAAGTTGGCAAAATCACCGATGCGTAAACATCGCCGAGACCGCTAACTTCGCGAGAGCATAATTCCGTAAGTTTTCCATCAAATTTCATAATTTTGGTGTCATTATGATCGGGAAACGCAGCGCTGTATAGTCCTTGTGGCTTAGCGCTTCTTTTTGATTATAATAATAATATGATCGGGAAAAGATTCTCTATCTTTTCACAAGAATTTTTTTTTTTTTAAATTTGGCCGACCCTGAGAACGAGTCTCGGAGAGGGCCTGTTGACCCTCAAAGGGTTGAAGTTGTGGACTGTATATAATTAGGCTTGCTGGGTGCTCAAAATATAATTGGTGTTAATGCTTACCATTTAATTACTGTAGATGGATCACACCACAACACCTGCCTAACACCTAGACCCTACACTGGCCAGCTAGAAATCTAAATGCAAGGACTAATGGTGTACTTCCCTGTGAGTGATGTTCCCTTACATTCTGTCATCCACATGTAATTCTTGAGGTCCTGCAAGTTTCCTGTCCCAATTCTTCAGCAGGGGACATTAACATGAGTTCCTAATTACAAATTCAGACCAAAACTCCCCAGTTTGGCTCAGAAGATGCTGGATTATTGGCAGAATTTCCCGTGACAACCAGTGTTTGCACATTACAAATGGCGTCTCTTCCAGCATTAGTACTGTTTGTTCTACACCCCCCCTCCCTCGAAATTTCTCGAAGGGTCCAAATAGCATCACATTTTAATATGCAATTATTATATTCATTTATATTTTGTACACTTAGGAAATTATGTAAACAAATTCCACAAAATACTTCTCTTATCCCAAATCTAAGGAAAAAACAACATCCAGTATTGGGCCCCTGCTTAGGCAGGATGGGACATACACAGATGATAGCCAAGAAATGAGTCCCAATATGACTCGCTGTTTAGCGAGCCACTGCCCACTCTAAGGGTCGACAATTCAAATGAATTCTTTATGAACGAAACCCAAAATTTGGTCATCTTAAAAATCTCGGATATTATTCTAACTCCACAAGACTTTGAAGAGGCAATTAATGACATGCCCATACACTCTGCCCCAGGCCCAGACTCATGGAACTCTCGTGTTCATCAAGAATTGCAAGAAGCCCCTATCGCGTGCCTTCAGCATTTTATGGAGAGGGAGCATGGACACAGGGGTCATCCCACACACACTAAAAACAACAGACATAGCCCCACTCCACAAAGGTGGCAGTGGGGCTGTGTCTGTTGCAAAGAACTACAGACCAATAGCACTAACATCCCATATCATAAAAATCTTTGAGAGGGTTCTAAGAAGCAAGATAGCCAACCACCTAGATACCCATCATTTACACAACCCAGGGCAACACGGGTTTAGAGCGGGCCGCTCCTGCCTGTCCCAGCTACTGGGCCACCATGACAAGGTCCTGGATGCTGTAGAGGATAAACAAAATACAGATGTATTATACACTGGCTTTGCAAAAGCTTTTGACAAGTGTGACCATGGTGTAATAGCACACAAAGTTGGGGATAAAGGAATAATGGGAAAAGTTGGTAGATGGATCTACAACTTCCTGACAAATAGAACACAAAGAATAATAGTAAACAGAGTAAAGTCCCAGGCAGCCACGGTAAAAAGCTGTTCCACAAGGCACAGTACTCGCTCCCATTCTATAACTCATCCTCATTTCTGACATAGACAGAGATGTAAGCCATAGCTCCGTGTCTTCCTTTGTGGATGACACCCGGATCACCATGACAGTGACCTCCATCGAAGACACCGCGAGACTCCAAGCGGACATCAACCAAATCTTCAAATGGGCCACTCAAAACAATATGAAGTTCAACGAGGAGATATTTTAACTACTCAGATATGGAAAACTTGAAGAAATTAAAAATGTGTCAGGGTATACCACAAATTCTAGCTATACAATAGAGTGGAAAAGTAATGTGAAGGACCTGGGAGTGATAATGTCAGAGGATCTCGCCTTCAAAGACCACAACAATGTATCTACCTCATCTGCTAGGAAAATGATATCCCCTCAAGGAAGGTTCCTTGATGTTGGTGAGGGGCTCTTGATTTAGGGAATTGGATCTGTGCTCCAGTTCCCCGAATTAAGCCTGAATGCCTTCCACATCCCCCCCCCCAGGCGCTGTATAATCCTCCGGGTTTAGCGCTTCCCCCTTGATTATAATAATAATAATAATAGGAAAATGATAGGATGGATAATGAGTACCTTCAAAACTAGGGATGCCAAGCCCATGATGATTCTCTTCAAATCGCTTGTGCTCTCTAGGCTGGAATACTGCTGTACACTAATGGCCCCCTTCAAGGCTGGCAACATTGCAGACCTGGAGAGTGTACAAAGAACTTTCATGGCACACGTAAGTGCGATAAGGCACCTAAACTACTGGGAACGGTCGAAAGTCCTTGATCTGTATTCCCTCGAACACAGGTGAGAGAGATGCATGATAATATACACTTGGAATGTCCTGCACACGAAAACCACTCCATATGAAAGCAAAAGACTCGGCAGGAGATGCAACATTCCCCCGATGAAAAACGGGCACCACGAGTACACCGAGAGACAGCACAATAAGTGTCCGGGGCCCAAGACTGTTCAATTGCCTCCCAGCATACATAAGGGGGATTACCAATAAACCCCTGGCTGTCTTCAAGAAGGCACTGGACCGGCACCTAAAGTCAGTACTTGACTAACCGGGCTGTAGTTCGTACGTCAGCTTGCGTGCTGCCAGCAGTAATAGCCTGGTTGATCAGACCCTGATCCACCATGAGGCCTGGTCTCAGACCGGGCCGCGGGGGCGTTGACCCCCGAAACCCTGTCCAGGTAAACTCCAGGTATGTTCTGCAAACCAGCTTTCAACACTACAATGATTCAGCTAATTCAGATATTGGTATTGGTGAGTGAGGGATGGGGGTTGGGAGTGCTGTGGTAATGGTGGCTGAGGGAATTGAAGGTGGGGGTAGTGTTGGGTGGGGAAGTAATGGGAGGAGGAGTTATGGCAGTTATTGGTAAGGGTACACAAATAACCCGCACATAGAAGAGAGGAACTTACGACGTTTCGGTCCGACTTGGACCATTTACAAAGTCGTAAGCTCCTCTCTATGTGTGGGTTATTTGTGTATCGTTC